TTAAATGTTTTGTGCAACCCGTCACATTAATTGTTGAGGATCCAAGATAAGATTTCGCGATTATAAGTAAAAAATCTTTCATTAGGCGCATTACCTCCAACAAACTGGAAGTTTTGATTATTTGAACTTTTAAGTACTTAAACTTACCTTGGATTTTTCTAAAAATATTCTTCAGGAAATTGTTTGAGTGTATCCATCAATAATCTAATTCAAATTAGATAGGATAATTATTTAAGTTTCACCGTTTATTGTTTAGAGTAATGATTTTTAGAAGCAAATACACAAGACATTTTTAACATATTACTTTTAAAATATTTGTAGTTAATAGTATAAAAACCTAACCTAACCTTTTTTTTCTAGGAATATAAAGAATTGTGTAAGCATTAACATTTTGCATTGAAATAATGATAATGGGTTTAATGAAATATAGGGGGGGGGGAATGTTGGTGAGTGGAGACTAAAAATTATAATGGCATTATATAATATATTAAAACCTATAAATTACTATACCTATATGTTTTTATCAAACCAACAAAATATCTGGAAGGTTAGGTTATATATTATACACATTATGATTTATCGGTAATTTTTTTATTTTTACACAGATTATCGGAGCATTTTTAAATTGTATGGCACACTAATACATCACAGACAAAATAGGGATATGATGTATCAATCATTCAAAACCCCTATGGTTATTAACTAATTTTATGTATTTTAAAACTCATATAATATTGAAGACCTTAGTATTTTGTACAAGATATTAATATTTATATTCATATACATACCTTATGGCTTTTACTTAGTCTATATTAATTATAAATTATATAGCTAACACTGAGGCTGCAGCAGATGACTGTCAATAGCAGAATAGGGATCCGTAGTCATTCTATACGTATCATAATAATATAGTAGGTAATTGGTACCGAATATTGAATACTGATGAGAAATTTGGTCACAGTTTGTTGAATACACAATAATTTCCATTTTTTTATGCAAGGGAAGCATTTTACAAAAAAATATTATAGTTTCAGGAGAGATAATCAACAATCACCAATGATTGTACGTCTGTACACTTTTAATGATCAAGAATATTTGTTTTCGGGGTACATTATTTTTGCATTGATCATTGATAAGTTTGGACAGTGTAGTTAATATCATGCAAAATATTAACAGGAGAGTACTTTGAAAATGCACATATTTTGTAGAGTTTAGAATTATATTTGTAGATTTTTTTTTCTAAAATCATCTAAACACAAAAGTACAAAAAAAAAACATTTACTAATCTAATGATAATAATATGTCTACATAATTATCTTACATTTTTAAGTTTTTATAAACATCAAAAATTCAAAAATTTTACATTTAAGAAAAAAAAAACATACAATAGTTAGTTCCCATCGATGTCTTATAAATATAGTACCAAATTTTTTTATGATCCAGAACCTGTGTAGGTTAAAATACCATTATTAGATAAGAAAACTAAAAAAAATAAAAATAAAATCCCTCTGTATGTTAACTTTAAAAAATCATAATATTCTATTTATAACAATGATTATACAACTTACTAATAAATAATAGTAGTTACGCGAAAAAATTTCACAAAGATAAAACTTACATAAGTAATAGTGTTCTCTACTTTATACAAATAGAAATCATTGGTAAATGTAATTTGTTTTTTGAGGTAACAATTTTTTTTCTTGGCATTTCTGTTGTGTAACTTAAAAATATTTCTTATTTTTTTCAAAATATGATTTAAAATTTAATTAATGACACTCGGGGGAAATGTTATTTTTAGGAAAATAAAAATAACAATGTTAAGAAATTAAACAATATTGTTGACAGTGCAAAATATTAAAACAACATTAACCTAAAATAATCATTTCATAATTGCAATAAATTCAAGTTAATCTATTAGTCGGATAATTCAGCTGTTTCAAATCTGAATCTAATAATAAACAGTAATATAGGAAATTAGGAACACATATTATATACGCCAGTACACAACAAGTATTGCTGAAACAGCTGTATATTGTGCACCATTGAGCATTATTGTAATAAAATGAAAAATTTTTATTTTTCATACTATGTATGGTAAAAATAAATTTGTTGTTACAAGTATCAATTGAAATTCGGATTTTTTTAAAAAAAATTGTATGAATGGTACAGCGAGGTAATTTTTAGCATCCATGCCCTACAATCCAAAAAATGATTTTTCCGACATAGGAGCAAATAGTAATTCTCATCAGAAATGCTTTAATACCTTGCATTTTTAAATCGGTTAGTCGTCACGATGTATTGGAATTTAAATAAATTTATTGTTGACATAGTGAACAAACAATTATTGAATTCTTATTAGCATCAAATTATTAAATTGATTATTGGTATATCAATATTGAGTTTATTATATAAAATAATTATATGCATTATCAATCCATAATGTGTTCAATAATTGTTAAATTATTTAATTAATATTTAAACTTTTCTACATAAATCAAAAATCTTGATTGGAATAATTATAAATAATACTTTCTTAAATGTTGTTTAATTTTGTAATACAAAAATAAAGATAAATCCTCAATCAAATGATTTTGTCAGTATTTAACTAAATAAATTACCTATACATGTTTTTTTTAAATTTGTTATTATTGATACATTACGAAGGAGATTACACATAGATATCAAATAATAGCTTTAAACTTTCATAACAAGATTTTAATTCTGCAGGTAGTTATATTTGATAAAATGATTAATATTAATATTCCTAATCATATAGCTAAGACGGTTTTTAAGTTAATTAGTATTCATTCCATGATACTTAATATAATATTGATTAATAATTGTTTGATAGTTATTAAATTTAATAATGTCTCTACGATATGAGATACCGTCAACCCGGGTGACTTGGAACGATTTTCACCTTTTAACTACTGTAACTCATTCATTATTGATAATTAAATTCTGTAAAAAATCATGCAGTGTCGCACACCTCCAAGGAATAGATTTAGCAAAAAAAAAATTAAGGTCTTAAGTAAATTAAGGTAAAAAAAAAATAAAAAGTGCTTGTTCCAAGTCACCCGGATTTTTGGGTGACTTGGAACATGCGTTTTTTCAAATGCAGATTGCATTTAATCATATGTGGGAAGGTCACTTGGAACGCTACAAATATTTTTAAAAAAAAAAAAAGTGTTAAAAACCATTTTTTTTCGATATAATTACCGAAATTAAATACCGTAAATTTCGGTACGTACGACTGCCAGGTATACATTTATAATAGTTCCAAGTGACCCACTTTTTTTTTACCTAAAATAAAAACAACCCTGAAAAATGTAAATAATATTATTTCCTAATTCTACTAAGCGATTAACACTAACAACACATTAGGAATTCACTAAAAAATAACAATACCTTGATTTTAGAAGCTCAAGTTACACTTTCAAAGCTCTTAAATTAGGATTTGAAAATTTGGATTTTTTTTACTAAATTATGGTTGTATCACATGGCTTATTGATAAGAGATAACACATTTTCGATGATAACAAAACTTTTACAAAACTTTCCGAAAAATATTTTTGTGGAGACAGAATTTTATTTCCCTTATCTAGCATAAAATTAACCGCTGTTATCAAAAAATAACGCAATTGTTCCAAGTCACCTCCAAGTTCCAAGTCACCCGGGTTGACGGTACTTAAATATTTTTAACAGACTTTAAGACAAAAATATTTATGTCAGAATTGTAAGTTGTAACAATAAGTTATTAATTATTTTTAATGACGTATGTATCAAAACAAATAAATGTAAAAGGAAACTGATGTGGTAAAGTCATTTAAAATGTGTAATAGATTATCTACCCAAAGAATAATTTCATATTTAAAAATTGTGTAATTAATATTATTAAAACATTAAATAACTAAATACTGATTCAGTTTAAATTGTTTTTAAATAACTAGGATACGCAATAATAATGAACTTAATTTATAAAAATAAATATTCAATTAGTTATCTGTTCTACAAGAAAAATATTTCTATAATAATTTTTTAAAAAATTCTGGTTAAATTCCAATAAATTTGATAGGATTTTTTGGTAAACGTAGTATCTATTTTTGTTCTTCATAAACTATTTACTGTATAAAAACAAAACCATATTTTTTTCACAAGGTAAGGAAAATCAATTTAGTTTCTTTTAAAATTGATTACTTAATAATATGCATAATCATTCATAAACAGTATTAAAAATAACAATTTAATTTATGACATACGGAATTTGAATGGTACTTGGTTTAAAACGATTATTCGAAAATAAGTTCAAATAAAGTGTAAAGGCTATATTACAAAATATAATTCATAATGTATAATTATATAAAAACTTGATTGCAAGCCTTTTAAATAGTTTCTAGAGTACAAATCCCGCTTGTATACATTTTCTACCTACAATTTTTCCCAATCACACTCCCTTATAACCCAATACACTATCTATAGAGCTCGCTATGATGTAAAATTAAGACAAACAGTAAATACCACATCGAAAACACAAAAAAAAAATGCTTTACAATTTTTAAGGATAAAAATGTATCCTGCATACAAGGGAGGCCGGTAAAATGTTTTTAGAATAAATTTTCAACAATATGTACACAAAACAAACACTTTCAACAAGACAGAAAAAAAAATAATAATAATTGAAAAAAAAAAACAGCAATAATTTATAATAAACAGCTACATACAGAAAAATAAATAGATGAAAAATTCTATAAATACTGAACGATCTTATAAGAGTGACTTTTTGTGTGTTATAAGTTTCAATAAGTATTTAACCAAAGTTCAAAAAAAAAAAAAAAATTCACTAGTTCAAAACATTGTATAGTATTAATATAATTTATATACAGAAAATAGCCTAATGTCAAAAAGAAAAAATATGAAGAGTAAAGTCAGTTTATCATTTGTAGTAAATTAATTAATTGTTAAGCAATATTTTACAGAATCACTTACATATTTTTATTTTGTTCACGTATGACTGAAACACGAACTGGCACTTATTGATATTGATCCAGCTAAGTCTTGGTAGCTGAATTGTGGGAAGTATGGTTGTGATTGCTCCATTTCTTCTGCAATGCTGTTGAGGTGATGCGATGACAGGTCAGGTGGAGTAAGTTCAACAGATTCTCCAGTAAATTCCTGGTCGAAATATCGTGTGTCTGTGTCTGATGATACTTGTGGTTGGAACGGAGGAGGAATCTAAAATAAACGTTAATTTTTTTAGTTAAATCTAGAAATAAGAATTCATTAAGTAATATATTATGTATTCAATTAAACAGAATCAAAAAATTAGATTTATATTATTTCAACGAGTAGAATCATAGTTTCTATTACCTTTTTTTGTTCCAAATCCAACCAATTAATACTACTAAAGAAAACATGACTCATGATTTCTTGGGCATCATCAGGACCTCCGCCCAATCGCTGTTTGGGATCTTTGATTAAAAGACCAGTTAGCAAACTTTTTGCAGCAGCAGAAAGTCCTCTTGGAAATCGTACCTTAACAATAGTCAAAAATATTGAATATAAAGGAAATTACAAATGTAATATTTAACATACAGATTCCATTAAAATGAGAGTGAACAATTTGTCATGATCCTTGTTATAAAATGGTAACCTTCCACACATCATTTCATACATGACTACTCCTATTCCCCACCAATCAACAGCTCGACCATAATCTAAATCTTCTAACACCTCTGGAGCCAAGTATTCAGGTGTGCCACAGAATGTTTTGGTTGTTGACCCATAAGTTATATCTTCTTTGCACAATCCAAAGTCAGCAATTTTAATGTGACCATCTTTATCTAGCAGTAAATTTTCAAGCTAAAAAAATATCAAATATTAGTTAAGAACTCAAAAATTAATAACTAGAACCATAATTCTATTTTTAAATAATTACTTTTAAATCCCTATAAATAATTCCTTGGGAATGTAAGTAACCCAAAGCAGAAATAATTTCAGCTCCATAAAAACGAGTTCTATCTTCTGTAAATACACGTTCTCTTGACAAATGGAAGAATAGTTCTCCGCCATTTACATACTCCATGACAAAACATAATCTATCTGCAGTTTGAAATGAGTATTTCAATGACTATAAAATAAACAGAATTAAACAATAAATATAAGTTAAATTGAATTGAATTAAACTTTAAATAAAATTCAGCAAATTATTAATTACTATTAGAAAAGGATGACTAGTAGTGCGGAGAACCCTGTTTTCAGTTAGCGTATGAGCAACTTCATCTTTTTGGATGATGACTTCTTTTTTAAGAATTTTGATAGCATATAAATGACCTGTTGCCTTTTCTCGGCATAGAATCACTTTTCCAAATGTACCTTTTCCAAGTACTTTAAGAAACTCAAAATTCTCAAGAGTCTAAAAATAAAAATATGAGTGAAATATACATATTTTTAATTCACATAACATATTCTTGTATTACATACCACTTTTCGTTTTCCGGTGGATTTACTTGAAGATGTTCCTTGAACAGAAAATTTGGCACTGAAATCATCTGAACTGGGTCCTGACATTGTGCTTGACATGCTAGTCGAATGAGATACGCCTTCCATTTCAACTTCATCAACATCAGACAAACGTTCTGATACGCCTTTAATGGCAGTCATCCATTCTTCTCTAAAAATGTAAATTTTTATATTTTATCAACTGACAATCATACCACTTTGAAGATTTGTGAAAACTGTTTTATAATTTAATGTCAGTACCTATACATTTATAAACATATTCAACAAAAAATATATTTTTTAAGTGGTTAACATTTACTAGTTTTCCATTGAACTTAAATCATCTATTATTTAATAAATAATAGTTATAAAATAAATTTGAAATAAAAATAGACATAGATTAATTTTATACCACAATTAAAATGCATTAACTTCAATTTAAAACTTATTTTTAATGATATAATAATTGCAATTGGATCAAACAATTTATGTTAATTATAGCACAATATAATTATTATGTTTACGTCCGTCTTGATGTTATTAATTTCTTAGATATTTATTAAATATCGACTGACATAATAATTAAAGTTGTTTATTTATGCACAAATAATAAATAAATATATTTATTTATTTTAAACCAATACATCACAGAAATAACAACATGTGGCAACAAATGTTATGAATATGAAAGGCTACTAATATTGAAAGGTGCCTACCCACTACACAAAGATTTCTAGGTAGTTTTTAGGAAATATATCCTGTTTCAATTAAGATCTTCAGGGCAATAGAATTAAACAAAAGACAATTTTAGCACAAGATACTCAATAATCTAACATCTCACTTTTTAAATTTGTTCAGTACTTATTAATATACAACATAGATAGTTAGCATATTGTATTTCCATATAGCTAATTAGAAGTTGGTGGGTAAATATTGCTTACTTTAAAAATAAAATATGTACATACTAATATAAATTATTTAGAATAAGATTACAACAAAATAATTAAATTAATTTTTTAATCAATAATTTTATATTTAAGTTAAAAAAAAAAAGAATAATCTAAATAAAAACAAAATGTTATAATAAAAAAAATACATTAACCATGTGTTTGTGGAAGTTTGAATAACTTGTGTTCCATGTTTACTAACAGCATGACCTCTACAATTGTTTGTAATTATTTTGGATAACAAATTATGTACTTTGAAACTATTTTCTACTTAATAGTTTTGTAGGTAGGTAGTAAAAAAATAAAGCATTTAATATGCTTCGTAATATGACAAATAGGGTCATTAGAAGATAAAAACTACCTAGTATTTTCATCTGACCTTTGATGTATACTAAGATGATGATAGTTATTATATATTATATACATTCAAAAATTAAAATTATAAATTTAATATAGGTATGCAATTTAACGGGAAAACTAGAAAAATTATAAATAATTGTTAATTTAACAAATATGTTAAATGCGTAATTATTTGTAAACATAACTAATAAGTAATAACATTAGGTTAGTTTATAAACCTAATACTGTTTTAAATCGAACAAGAAATCACGTAATAAAAATATTAAGATATGCAAATAAACATAATATATACGTTGTTAAGTTGGATTCAAATAAAATTCTTATATTTATGAAATTATTAAATATAAATAACAAATACTTAATAAGTAATATCATTATAATATTAAAATTACTATCATAAAATATTTTAAAATATGGTTTTTGTTATATTTATTAATATTTATGTTGATGAGGGTTACAATTTGTTTTAGAATTAAAAAAAATGTCTGTTTACAACATAATCTATACTTAATTACGTTTGGACCAAAATAACAATTTTCCTTTATAATAGTCATAGGTTAACAGTTAACCTCTAGTTTATCACTTATTTATTTATGGGTAAACATATGGTTTATGTTTTAATTGAAAAAAAATAAATTATTTTTAATGTAGTTTTTATTAAAATATTTTCATAAAATTATAAGATTCTTTTTTCAACACGCAGATATCATTACTTATAAGTGATTCAAATTGCAGACCAACATTTTAATAAAACAATGATATCTTTAATTTTATCAATTTTACTAGGTATAACTGCACAATTCTAGCAGTTATTAAATAAAATAGGTAAATGAATTTGTACATAGGTTTAGGTACATCCAAATTTATTTATATTTAATATACCTCATTAGTTGTATAGTTGATTTGTCAAAATTGTGCTAATATTAATTGGCTTAATAATTTATCACCATAAGAATAGTACAGCTTATGTAAACATATAGCCCATTTTTGGGTTAATCAATTTAAGTTGTTTGCACTCTTATTTTTCATACAATCTGATTTCAACTTTTTACAAAAAATACCAAGTAGTCAAAGTAACAAAAAAAAATTGTATTTTAGGAGAGTAATTTGCACAATTTGCTGCTAATTGTATATCTATTGTATATTTAACTTTTAATGTAAATGTTGATCTACATACAACAAAAAGGTAACTAACATGCCTCACAACTTTAGTTGCTCCTAATATAAATACAAGTCAATGTTCACACAAGGAAAGTAGCTTGACAACTTGATTTGCATTGAGTGAACCCAACTTAAAAGTAATACAATTTATGATCAATATCATAAAATGTCGGTATTAAGTTTACATTAAATATATGATTCTGTTTATAAAAACTTGTATTTGATATAGGTATGAATCCAAAGCACAAATAGAGTAAAGCTCAGGGACAGAAATGGATTAAATAAAGTTAAACAAATATAAATTTGAATAATATGAATAACTTTTGTGTTTAAATATTAAATTGCTTGCATCAAAATTTATTCCCATTTTACAATTTGTATTCATAACTACATACTATTATTATATTACTGTAGTGTATATGTCACTTGTTTGTTAAGGAAGCAAGAACTTTCAGTACATTTAAATATTATACTCAAAATTAGTTAGGTATATTTACATTTAGGTATGTATCTTAATAGAAATAGTATTCTCTAGGTATGCAATTTTGATAGGAATACAGATTAAGGGATAAGTATCATTATTAAAAATTTAAATTTCATTGATAGATGTAAAGATGGAAGTTTGAAATAACAGATGTTTGTAAAATAATACTAACCTTTCTTTATCAGAAGACACATGAAATGTTCGTTCAATAACAGTGGTCCATTGCAATCCTCGAATTGTGAATGTGTATGGTTTGGGACGATCAACACTCATTATTTGACACCTCTTTACAGTGAAATTGTTGAGAGGTTCGGTCACTGGACCTTCTGGTTTGTTTCTGTAGCCCATAAGTGAACCATCGGCAAACAGTATAAAATACCTGGACCTCCAATTTTTAATGTGTTCGCCTATATTGGAGAATAAGGTTTGTAGTAATTTGAAAACAGCAATGAAGTTTGGACAATGAAAGCAACAGAGTGCAAGAGGGTTGCCTATTACAATAACACTAACCTCGTTTGAACAGCCATCCCTCTTTAACTATTGATGACTGGCTGGATGACAGCGGCAACGGGTTGCAAATGGACTGTAGTACGTCGGCCATGGTTACAAGATCAAAGGTCAACGGTGGCAAAAGTGTGTTCTATTATGTCAGATCATCTAGAACCAAACCATTAGATGAGCACAAATGAAAACAATAGATCCCGATATAAACAAAACAAAAAAATAAATTGCAGACAACTAACAACAAACAAATGTGACTGTCGGAGAGCCACACACCGAGACTTTTAAGTGTACATGAAGACCTTTGACAATGGCCGATGGTTAAAACTGTCGTTGTCAAATGTGGGAGGGGGGGAGGAGGACTATACTATTAGGACGAAGGAAAGGTTGTAATAGGAGTCTGTTTAGAAAAACCGTAAGGGGAAAAGTTGTCGTCGTAATGCTACAGGATCAGTATTTCAGATATTTAGCCCAATGGACACGGCGCAATAGGTACGTCGCAGAAAGCATGAACGAAGCGTGTCTCGGGTTCCAGAGTCACGGTCGTGTACTATAATATTATCGTCGTAGTATCGTACTCGCGAATGCGCGCACGCGTGTGCAATGTGTGTGTGAGTGCGTGTGCGCTCGTACAACGAGAGTTCGATTGGGATAGGCTCGAGTGCAGCTCAACCGCGTTGGCGGCGATCGAGGAAAACGACTCGGGATCGCGATTGCAGGGGACTGGAACGCGGATCGATATCCAGTCGACGTCGGGGGACGGTGAATCGATACGCGGCGGCGAGCCGGACGGAAATTCAATGTTAAGTAGAGCTCGCGCGGACTGAGATCGTGGCTTGGCAGCGGAATTTTACAAACGCCGGCGATCGGCCATGGACGGTATGCGTGCGCGGGCGAGCCACATCACAATATGCGTTTCCGAATCGAATTCAAAATACGCGTTCGTGCCTCGCGATAATCGTACGCGTTTCGGTGATGCGGTGGCTGATGTAACCGCTGACGATTCGCGCGCGCGCGCCTAGTAAGATTCCGGCGATTCCGCCTCCCGCCAGACGGTATTGAATTAATAATATTTTAATACATACGTGTTCTTGTTAAATGTCTTACTTTGATAATATTTTCTATAGTTACTGACTCGAGACACGCGCTCGGAGACTGCCGATGCTGGAATTCCTTAGACGTTTGGTCTCACGTCCTCGACGCCACTGTCATATTGTTTGCGAACTGTTTTTACTTATAACTTTATGTTTTATTATTTAGATATTTATTTTTGTTATTATTATTATTAACGCACTGGGTTTGTTGTTGTTTTTTTATCGCCATTCAGTAATCGGCAGCGGACGTAGACTAGGGCGGCGGCGGCGAACGATTTACACACTCACACACAAACATAGTACACACACGCGCGCGCGCGCCCCGAGGGAGGATTGAACTTTACAGTGTCGCCGGGCGCCGTTTCTCCATCGCCGACGGCGCGCGCACACACTGGCAGAAAACAGCAGCTGTATGCCACACGCCGCCATCGTTTGAAAACGATGATTGCCGACGGTTTTTAACGACGAGGGCGAACACACGAAAATCAAAATTCACTTGTTTTTTTCATCGGTCCAACACTTTGAAGTCTATGAAAAGAGGTGTAGGAAAGTGCTTGCGGCAATATGTGAAAATAAAAACGCCTAAGTATGTGCTAAAATACTGCAATACTACGAATTACTATAATACTAGCAATAGTCTGCTACTTAGCTATACTATATACTGAGACACATATTGTAATCAATATTTTTGTTATTTTTTTAAGAATTGCTACATTTTTAAAAAAACAAATCTCGATGAATTTTATAAAGATCACATTAATTCGTATTATTATTATTAAAATAATTATTTTTTTATTGATCATTAAGCCCTGCAACTATGGCCATTAGATGTTAGTTTGATTGTTTTTTTGTAGGGGAGGATACTGTAGGTTGGTAAACACGTGTGTTTTAGTTTGGCCGAATTTTCAAGTGGGCATCCGCAGGTATCTGCCATGCCCGGTTGTGGGATGACGGCCTCTCTCTCCAGACACCGTGACAGCCCGGAGAGAAGTGCCGCCTGAGGCCGAGATTCGAACCGGCGACGGTGCGCGTCGCAACCGACGCCTTAGTCCACTCGGCCTCTCCGTCCCCCAATACGTATTATTATAATATAATATGTTATAGATTTGTATTAAATATTTAACGTGAGCATCTATATACAACCATTAAATTCCATAGTTGGGACTTCTAAACTATGAAGTACCCATAAGGCCATAAGGTTATATCCTGTGGGCTATGACCTACATAGATTTTAGATTCTGAGAGCAGGGGCGATAAATACATTGATTTTACAATGATGTGTTTTTTTTTTGTGTCTGTCTGGCAGTAACTGCTGGTTTTTTTTTCAACAGTAGGATCTTGTTCAATGGAAAAGTGAATCTAGTTGGTGCATTTGGGAGGTTAAAATTCAAAATTCCCAATAGATTTCAAAATTGCAGGGCAAAACAAGATAAAAATAAGGGAAAACGGGAATTTTTATTTTTACGCAAAATCGATTTTAGTTTTTGGTGTAACTCTAAAACAAATGACATTTTCACTGGTTGTTTATATTCACATTTTCAATACACGATAACACTTTCAAAATATTTTGATATGTTTTGAGCTGTTTAGGGACATTTTCAGTTTCATTAGATTTTTGTCTATGAATGTCAATATTCAATAAAACTTTATTTGTTGGGTAAAAAAGCTTGAAAATTTAATGCTAGACTTTTAATATATTTTTACAATGTCAGCTGAAAAATATTAATAATATGTAGTCTCAATTTTTTTTTATAAGTATTTAAAGCTCAAATTTTGACAAAATACTGATGAATCACTATAATTTACAAATTATTTTGTGTTAAGACATAAGAATTCATAAAAATTGTTCTTTTTAAATTTAAGATTTGGAAATGTAATACAAGATTCCTCATAAGTTTGTCTACCTTTATCAAAAAAAAAAAAAATGTCTACAAGTAAATCAAATTAAATTTTAATGAGCGTTTGAAAGTCATATTTTTACAAGATTGGATATTCACTCAATTTCTCATGTAGCGATTTTGTTGTAATTCAAATAACAATTGTAGATACATGAAAATTTCACTGAAAGTTTATATTTTCATTTTCTATACAAAACACAAATTTGAAAACATTTTGAGCTGTTTACGGACATTGTCAGTTTTCAATTTTTTAGTTTTTTTTCTATATTTGCGATCAAAATTTCATTTGTTTGGTAAAAAAGCGTAACAATTTAATACAAGGATCTTGATATATTTTTACAATAGCAGTTGAAAAGTATTAAAAATATATAGACATAATCAACTATCAAGTATCTTTTATCAGGATAAAATCCCACCTGGGCAAGATAAAAATTATTTATAATTTAATATTAGTTATGGCGATATTTATATTAAAGTACATGCTGTTAGGCAATGGCCCCGTCGGCACCCCCTCCCCCCCCGCGGGTGCCCATGGGCACAAATTTTTTTATAAGCATTTAAAGTTCGAATTTAAAATGTAAAATGTAATAATTATGATGTTGTAGTTAAAAATGTATAAAATGTTCAACTTTTATAGCTAATGATTGAAAATTTAAAACAGGGTTCCACGTAAGGTTATGTATAGTTTACTTCATTCACAATAATATCATCAAATATACTTATCCTATATTTATATTTTACCTATCTATCATAGGCTGACTGACCGTCTTCGCTCAGAATAATTTTACTTAGACAATATTATATCATTGAATTCAAATTTAACACCATCCATTACAGTGACCCATTTGTAACCTACTGTACATCAGAGCGAACCCACTTGACCACCTTTTTATAGAATTATTCTAAAAATGTTTATTTATCATTATCGTTTTTGGAATAGTCCACTATTGAGTATTTAATATTTATGCGTTAAGAAAATGTACTCCTTACATAAGCAAGATACGATTCACACAATTTTCACCAAGTTGATATCTTCCGTTGCTCATAATGGTAAAAAAAATTACAACATTCATCATTATTATTATACAACAATTCAGTATTCACAACAGTAGTAGGTATTATTAATTTATTACTACTCAACACTTGCGTATATTAGTATGGAGATCGTAATACGAAAATAACACCATGACGTAAATTCTTATAGAATCACATCGAACAATATTATATCTGGTTTTTTACAACAATTTTTCGATTCAAATATTGGCTAACAAAATAGTTTTATTAATTAGGTATGTGAACTCATGATGTTTTTTTAGTGACCCACGGCGAATGTGGGTAGAGTTCTTAAAATTGCACAATAACGTAAATCGTTAAAGATTCGTCAACTGAATGTCTGATTATATATTTTACAGTTAATTTATAATATCTTAGGTACTTATTTATCTTTAATTTTTATCCAAAATAACGTATTCCTTCTTTAAAAAAAATATAATTTTTAAGTATAATAAGTATTGTAGTTTTTATGGAAACAATAGCTAATACAACTAAACGTTCCATCAGAAATAATTTCATATATATATATTCAATACCACATAATTAAATAATTGAAAGCCATTTTTAAGATGAGTGTGATACTGCGATGGCTGAATCAGATTTTTGCTATCTAATTTGTAATCAATTAGGCCATTAATAATCAAAACAAAAGACTATGGAAGGAAACTGTGACCCATCATACTCAGGATTCAGCTCAAAATGTCCAATTAATAATTAATGTATCTACAAATATTATAATTTAATAATATTATGCACACTTTCACCCACCTGGGATGAACCACAATTATTTCGGCCGCCGTTGCTTATCGCGTATCGAACGGCGTTATTAAATAATACAAATGATTATTTTGTTTTATTATGTATAGAGTACAAACGTCTCTACAGACCACTGACCAATATCCGTTCAATCTCATATTTCTTAGCTATTCGAATCGATTGTTATCGAAGTTACATAACTCTATCGGTCAATAAGGTCATAAGAGCCGCTCTACCAAGACGTGCAATATAGTATAAATAAAAAAGTAATAACTTTGTTTTGACGTATTTCATATTTT